ATTTTTGATTTATTTCGAAGACTGCATAAATCGTTCATCCTAAATATATGCAATCCTAATAATAGTTTCGTTGAAGGAAAATAATTTTATACAAGTTTTACATATACTGTATTTAAAAGCAGAATTTTCACTTGTTGAAGGAAAAAGTGCTACAATACAAACCACTGGTTTGACTCAACCTTATTTATTTTTATTAAAAAATTCGAATTTTTTCGCATGAATAAAAATGTGACGTGGTCCTGATGCACATGTTATTCCTTATGTTTTTTTTTTTTTAAGTAGCGAACTAAAAATTACTGAACGTTCGAGCATACTTAAAAAAAAAAAATTTATAAAGTATGTATAAAATCCTTGGTGATTGTTAAAAACAAAAAACGTATACACTTCATATTTTTGCATGTAATTTGCGGCGTACACTGCTCTGTTTTAATTTTAATCAAGTACATGTTTTAACAGTTTTACTAATTATTGTGATAAGTTGATAACATTTATATATTTACAACACACCAACTTTTATATCATGTTTGATATAAATAACCGAATCAATGCCCGAGGGAATTTATTTGAACATCGATAGTTTGCAAATTAAAATGCATACTATTTATGACACTATACAATTAATTAAATTTTAACAACTGAAATCAACTTATTTTTAATTAAGGAAAACAAAATTTAATCTCCGGTTCACGAATAAAATTCAGTTAACTTAGCTATTAAGAATATTTTTCTAAAGGTGTTCACGTATTTTTCTATATACATATATATTATACAGCAATAAAATTTTGAATCCATTTCATGCTAAAAATGCTTCTAATGCATCAAACTGTTTATTAATTTATTAATTTAAGGTGAACTATACATACGTACATAATTTCAAGAAAAACTACCGGAAATGATATTTTCTTCATGAAATGAAAAAAAAATTAAAACTCAAAATTTTTAATCCCACTGACCTCTTCATAATTATTTCTTGTCAAATTTTTTATCCCTGTCTAATTTACTTCAATATGTATTGTAAACATTATTGTAAGTACACCACTTAATTAAAGAATGCTTGGTTATGATTACTTAAAGCGTTCACTCAAAACACATTAAACTATAGACTTTTACAAATCGTTTAAACTTGTCATTGCTTTAAAAAGAGATTTGAGTAGGTACATAGAGTCACATCTCGGAAGTACCAATTAAATTTACTCCAACTAGGTTTAGTCTTATAAGTTCTAACAATATAGGTGTCATGCAACAAAAATATTGTTAAACTATAAAAACTTATACAAACTACAGTGACTGATGCCCAAACTTCACGTAAACAGGTTCTTTCGTCAGTTGCAACACAAATTTTAGTATAAACATGATTTCCTTTTTTTTTTTACTTCATAAAAAAAAATTTCACCACTTAAATTCCGTTTATTAAATTAGCTCAAATAAAAAAAATTTTGGATTTTTTTGTAAATAGTAATGGTTATAGTAAAATAGTATATTTCGAAGCATGAAATATTTCGTATTGCTAATGTTCTATACATTTAGAAAGAATCTTAAAAATTAATGCCAATATTTTTTGAAAATGCGCAAAAAATATTACCAATTTCGGGTTCTTCAAAGGTTCAACTTTTTGTGTGTTCTTTTTTTTTTCGGATTTTTTACATATTTTATTTGTGGGCAGAGCTTTAACTGTATAATAAAAAGAATTTCTGTCTAAAAATTTATAATGCTAGGTAAAACAATTTTAACCGCGATCGAATATATCAATATCGAATTTATTATAAAATTGAATGTTCACATCCAATATGCTCATTTCGAAAAACAAAAACTAGTTACAATTTACTTCCTTTTATGGTAATATATTTCTTTATACTTACTTACATTGACTATAATTTGTGTTATATTTGTCATTTATAACTTGTAGATTTAAAAATATAAATTGAGTTGATTTTGGCACCTGCTGCCTTTTTAATGTTTAACGTAGACATTTTACATACTATCTTATTTAAATTACTATATTTAATTACAAAATAAATTAAAATTAAATTACGCGCTTTATTATAATAAAGTTGGTTATTAATTCATTTTCATTAACCACCTGCATTGCTGAAAAAAAAAACAAAAATTAAAAATTTATAACAAGAGTTTTCGTATTGAAGTATTCGAAACCATTAAAAACTTGCTAAAATTTAAAGCCTGGACCAATGTTTGAATTAAAAGTAAACAGTATAAACAAATTAAATAAAACTTCCCCTGTAAACGCATGGCAAATACAACAAAATTTAAAAAATTCGCATATTCTTTTGCAAAAACGAGTTCATTTTTTATTGAAGTTCATTGGCTGTTGCATACACTCTTTTTAATTACTTTTCAAACCTGAACCTTTTTAAGAACAAAAATCAGTGGAAACACAATTTAGTAATAATGATTCATCATATATTTTATAAAAATTTATAGTATTTTTATAGTATTTTCAGGTTTAACCAAAAAAAATTATCGCAGTATATACAATCTACATCAAATTTGCAATGTGAAAAAACTAATTCGAGAAATTTTTTACAGAAATTTTCTACTTAAAATATTCATTCCATAAATTTTAAACGGATTTTACTGTGCCTAGCAAGTTTAATAATGCGAAATAACCGAATGACGAGTATGCAGGTTTTGTATTTATGTGCATATAATCAGTCAATAGAGAATTATGCCGAAATAATGTAGAAAAAATAATATTTTTTCATCAATTTATTAATCTAGAAAAAAAAACTGATGTGGTCAGCACATAACAACCAATCGGAATGGTTATTGTCTAGTTAAGTGAAAGTGTTACAGAACAATATTAAAATGCCTTTTAAACTAGTAAGCTTTCAGTTAACATACCTAGAAAAATGTAAATTTGGTTCTTAGTAGAGTTTCGCTTTGTGCCATTCGAATTCCTTGAAAGGCTCGCCAGTTAGTTTCGGTAACAACCGGAGCTCGTTTGTTGTTTTAACACTCCAAATTTAAATATTAAATTTCAAGGAAATTGGTTGATTACTTCTCTTTATATGGGCAAAAATCTAAAATTGGCCCGCAAAAAAGAGCAGCTCCCAAGGCCTGATATATGCTAAAAGTTGATCAATTCGTGGCATGGCCAAAACAAACTCACATATAAAATTTCATGAAAATCGGTTCAGTCGACAGACCGTCACCTCTATGGAGAAGTGCGTTTGTGTCGAAAAGTTGATATGCAGAATTTGTTGCCATTATTACGTAATCTTCCTTATTATATTCAATGCGGTCAGTAAAAATATTTAATGGAAATAAGTATGCAATAACAACAAATTAAAATACAAAAAAAAATCAACTTAAATTATAATTGTGGCTTTTATAAGAAGAGCACATGCACCAAAAATTTAGCACATTGTGACAAGACACATGTTTGATAATTATCTTACTCGTGTTACATTATTTTCGTTACACTTGTCAAATATTTACAGAAATTTGTTTTTTTTTTTGTGGAAAAAGTTGAAATAAACTTTAAAGAAACAGAATAATCAATTGAGCTTGTCAACCTTGGGATTAATTAAAAAAATGTTGAATACCATAAATAAAACGAACGCATGCACAAAGTTTTCCGAAAGAATCAAAAAATTTTTACGGCTTATGGCACTTGTTACACCGGCCTGTATAAAAAAACGGAGCTAAACGGACTAGATGTGCATATTTCTTCGGATAAGTGACATTATCTGGAAAATAAATCTCCAATCCTTTATATTTAAATTAACATAACAAATTCGTATACTTAACAAAGTTTTCCATGTAAATTTTTTTTATGGCAGTATTAAATCCAAAATTTGTATTCGATATTGTAACAGTATTATTTCCGATGGATTTCGTAATTTACGTGCACAATTAAATTTTCAATCTTTTAATGTTTAATGGAAAAAATAACTAATTTTTCAATATTTTAGGGCAAGTTTCTTTAGCTTGAAAATTTGAGAAATTTAAATAATATTTTTTTATATAGTTTGCTTGGTTGAATGAGTGTATGTTTACCATATGTACCTTCACTCCTAGAAGTCGTATTTATAAACTTGAGAGAAGTTTTATACGAACACGCAAAAAGTTTGTTCGTCTGTTTAACAATATTTGATTCAAATCATTTCAGACATTGGTGTTTGAAAGAAAATTTACTTTTCAAAATGAGGTTGGATAAATATAGCAGTAATGAGCGTGAATAATTAATAAAGACAAGATATAAATGAATAATTGCTCACATATAAAACAAATTTTATATTATAAAAAACATTTTAATTTGCATGAATTTTATAAAGAGAATGGAAAATTATTTTGCATATGTTTAACAAATTTTGGTTTTAATACTTTTGAGCTCTTAAATAGATTATAAATTTCGTTTAATTTTTAAAACAACAAGTAGGTTCATTGACTTTATTTTAACTTCGAATATTTAACAAAAAAACAACGTTAGTATATTTATACAGATGCATATAATTGTATAAATTTTCAGTAACAAACAGAATAATTTGATGTTATTGATTTAAAGTAAAATGTGTTTAATTTAATTCTGCTAAAGTGGCGTAAAGAGAGATTCATCTTTAAGTAGTTAACAAGCAGAGCTCTAACAATTTATAATGAAAAAGGCTATAATTTGTTTTAAAAAATCAAAGTATAACGTAGTAGGCTAACTGTGACAACAGGTCGGAAGAACACATTTGAACCAATTAATATTAAGTTAAAAACAAATTGAAATTTGTATCACACATTGTATGGTTTCTTGTAATGCGAATTACATATTTGAATACAGAAATATAATCCGAACCTATAGGGCAATAAATTGCAGAAGTTTAGTTTTAATTTAATTTTCTTCGAATTTCTAACTGCCTGGAAATGGAATAAAATTATGACCAGCTAATGTTTTAATTATAATATTAAAAAATTTAAAGTTTGAATTAAAATCTTTAAAATTTCGCATTTCAATCAATATAATTAATTATTTACCTTTTTTTGTTCTTTTGCAGGTGAGTATTAAAAATTCATCACATCAACTAGTTGGAAATTCATAAAGCTCAGTAGAAGTCTCTTTAAAATCATTCAAACATCACGTAATAATTTTTTTTATTTAATTTGTTATTGCTATTCAAATGAAAAGATATACGTTAATGTTTGCTTGCAGAATCTTAAAATTTTTTTCAACTATTTTCTCTTCTGATTTTAAATAGCACGGACCCTGAAGGCATTGTTTGTGTTTGTGTACTTTGTTTTTATTATTTTTTATGCATTATGCAATTTCTTGATTTCTGAAATCTGATTTTTGCCACATTGCATGCAATAAGGGAAGTTATGTGTTGGCATTAAATTTCACATGTCGAGTTTTGAGTGGAAATGCATTTCCCTATGATAGAGACGCGTTAATAAACTATGTTTAGAGAGATGTCGATCGTTTGTTTGTCCATCTGTGCAAATCAGTATCTGAAGTTCGGCTGAACCTATTTTCACCAAATTTTATATTTGAGTTTACTTGAAGGTTAAATGATTTGATCAACTTTTGGGATTGTCAGGTCTCACACTATTCTTAAGAAAATAATCAACTAATTTTTCTGAAATTTCACATACTAGCACTGCCTCACAATACAACATGTGACATAACTTTTTAACAAAATCTGGTATCATCAAGTGGACTTTTACTACGAGCCAATTTTACATTTTTGGGATAAAATGAATCTGTACTAAGAGCCAAATTTACGTTTTTCTAGGTATGTTAACTACGAGCTTATTAGCCTTATGCGGTCGGTTTTGTGCTGATCATATCAGATTTTATTAAATGTATAACTCTGATTCTTCGATGTTCTTTTCCCGTTCTATATGAGAAAAATATTAGGAAAAGAGCTATTGATCTCTTTTTGAAGTTAAGGGCCTGATCGTATATCTCGCCATTTTACTCGAGTGAGAAGAAAGTGAGTAACTATCATATATTTGTATAATGTAATTTTCAAGTGAGAAGAATTAGTTAACGTTGAGTCGATAATTTGAGAAAAAATGCAAATGTCTAATTTTAAAAATGAGTAATCTTTTTGGTGAAACATCCATTAGAAAATACTGTGAATTGTGACTTGAAAGTGAATAAAAAGTGAATAAAAAAGCGAGATACGCGATCAAACTGTAAAACTCAAAATTTAGAATCTTAGACATCCATACTTCTTATTTAACAAGAATGTCACATTTATTACGGTTAACTTTGGACGGTTAATAACTCAACTTTATGTACTTTAACTCGTCGTAATATTTTTTACCATTACTCGTATATTGAAAATTATTGTAATCACGAAAAATTATACAAGCAAAAGAATAATGTGAAGGGCTTACGAATTTTTCAAAATTTGTACTATATTTATGTAATTTTTGCTCTGAAAAGATAAAAGCAAATATTATTGGCCTGTTCTTTTGAAAATTGGATTTTAAATACATTTTCAAAGAAATTTTGTTGATTATTTCCTACATACCATTAAAAATGTAAAATCAGCCCATAAGTAATAAAGGTTAAGTTAGTGGATGTGCAAAAAGTTGATAAATTCATCAAATCTTCAAAAAAAAAAATCAGATGTAAATTTGTATGAAAATGATTTTCACTAAATTGATGTAAATCGGTTAAGTTTCTCTAATATGGAGAAGATCATTTCCATTTGTATGTGAAATTTGATGTGATAATTTAACCTGTCGATGACAATACCTGTTATTTTATATATGGTCTATAATACATCAGTAAAACGACTTATTTGTTTGGAAATAAGGAGAAATTAGAAAATTTTCTGCAGTTAAAATTTTTTGCAGTGCAAATGAAAAAAAAATAAAGCTGATAAAAAATGGTAAAAAGCACAAATTTTTTTTCTTTTCTGTTGAGCATTTTTTGATTATTTGTTTGTCTAATTAAATTCTGGACCCTTTTATATCCTGGACAAGAGAAACGACTTCAATGTAAAATGTTAACTTGGCAATTTTTTTCTTTCGCAGCGGTCTATATACATTTATATTGGTGTTGCAAATTTGTCATTACGTTCAAGCAATAAAGCATAAGCAAATTTAAAAATTTAATATATTAGAAATGTTGTCGTATAAATCGAATTAGAATTATGTTCAATTCAATAAAAATTCAATTACCGTCTCATGAATTGATATTAGTGCGTAGAATTATTGTAACAGATAGTTCAATTTTGTATCTTGGAATAAATTTCTTTTATTCCACGTAAGGCTAAATTTTAAAGTTAAAATGGATTACCCTGTCTCCATCTAGTACATCGAAATGACATTTCGGAAACTTTTTATTCTAAAAATTCCAATTATTATCAGACAAGAATTAACAATTATAACAAAAATTTTTCCATATACACAAACCATTCTTACGATTTTTTTTGTGTTTACAAACCTAATATCGAACGTTTTACGAGAAATGTCACTATCACTTACTGATTCGATACTCAAAAAAACCCCATTGCAAAAATTCCCCAAAAAATTTTTAAGTCAAATATCATACAAATGTCGTATTTTCACAGAAAATACCTCTCAATAATGCTTCCGCAAATTCACCACAACACAATATTTTATAATTATAACTCGATTTACTAATAGAACTTGAAGTCAACTTTAAAGTTTTTTATGTTTAATCAAACTAATAGATTGTCATTAAATTTTATTTATTAATTATTTTACAATTTTAAAAAATTTTTTTGAAATTGGAAATCGAAATGACTAGAACTTAATTTTTTTATTTTGCCTATTCTTCAATAAGTTACCTAATTCCTTCTTAATGTACATACTTACTTACCTTATAAAATTCGGGAATGTTTTTTCACATGTTCGCATCCTTTTTTTATACTTTTCTGATAAATATTTATTTTTTGTACAATAAAGATTTGAAAGGGCGGCAAAAAAATTTTTTAAATTAAATTTCATTTCATTTGTTAAAGAAAATTATAATGTTGAAAAAATATTTGTAAGTGTGTATGTATGTGCATGTAGGGAAAGAAGTACAAGAAAAAATGTAAATATGTATTCTAAAAGAAATTTTTGTGTTACAAAACACAACACAATATTTTATGATCTTTTACTTAAAAAAATATAAAAAAGTTTCGAGCAAATGTTTATCAAATTCCGTTTCGAAAATTGAACGTATCCTTTACAATAAGAAAAAATGAAAAAAAAAATTAACAAAAATTTATGTTTTTGAAATTACATAATTATTTTAAATCCTAAAATGAACTTCATTACAAAGTAAATTTTTTTTCAGTAAATGACTGAAGTCAAATGCAAACTGAACGCAAATTAAAATTTTAATTTAAAAAAAATATTTGAATTTCAAAAAATATTTAGAACATGATATACACACTTAGACATTTACTGTATTTATGTATAGTATATATTCCCTACACATAATATGTAGATGTGAATGCATGGAGCTTTAATTAAAATCCTTTGAACGTCAAGGAAATTGTGCTTATAACTGTTGTTTGAATTGATTCCCTCATCGAAATTATTTTATTTGTATATATTTAAATTTTAAAAGCAATTAAGTTATGCTTGTTAGCTCATATTTTGTGCCCTTAACTTTTTTACTAAAGTCTTAAATATCTGATCAATTTCAATTTTTTGTATTCAATTTTACATTTCATTTTAAATTCATTATGATTAGACCAGGAATTTTTCAACTAAACCAACTTATTAATCTATAACATTTAAACAAAAAATATTCAAATATTTGATAGCCACTTTTTTGTCTAGAATTTTATCAATTTGTGAAAAGCTTTCAATTAGCCGAAGAAAAAACAACTTACTTTCCAATCAAAATTTTGCTTAAATAATTTTGGTATTTTAGTAGATGAAATTCCGAAATATTCTAAATAATTTTTTCGTGTTTATAATAGCTTAAATTGAAAAATAAAAGCAGTTTTATTGACTAATTTGAGCAGTTTGGTAGTTAATACACGTGAAAATAAATATACAAAAGGAATTGTTTGAGGAAATTTAGTTTGAATATTTTTATTTAAAAATTTTCAGTCGGTATAAATTAATTGAATTTTAGTCATGCACCTTTCATTTTATATAGGAATTACTCGAACCTGTGATACCATTCTGTAGAAATTTCTATAGAAAAAACTTGTAAAAGTTTGATGACATTCGCCTTATTTGTTTTTGAGTTATCGTGCCGTCGGACGGACGGGCATGTCTAAATTAACGCAAAATTTTATGCTGACAAGAATATATACACATATCCATATCGCAGACGACTCCTTGAAGTAGTTACAAACTCCATACCAAAGTTTATATACCCTTCTTTATATTTTTATAACCTGCAGGTTATAAAAATATACATACGTATATGAACCGCAATGTTAGCAGGTCTAATAGCAGTCTCTAAATCTATTGTGAAACTTAAAATTGAACTAGAAATTTTATAGCAATTAAGAAAAATTGTATAACTCGAAAATCATTAAAAATTTATATATGTACATGTTGGAAAATTTTAATCATTTTAATTTAAAATGCAAACTGAACGAAAATTAATTCTTTGTTACGGAATTAAATATCGTAAACTAACAAAACTAGCTAAAATATTTCTGCCCTTATGACAATAATCATAACATTACAGTTTCTAATTTTCAATTAAGCAGTAAGTGATTAATTAATTCATAACAAAGAGATTAAATCAAATATCAAATGCCACAATCTTGGTTTCGTATTTAATAACACCTGCGTTCCTATTTTACATTGTATTTAGTTATTGAACCATTATAAATAATCTGTGAGGTGGTCTTGTTATTTATATAAAGCAATTTTTAAATGTCACTCTACACTTTATGTACATAATGTGAATTTTCAATGCATCTATGAATTCAATCGAAGTTATTATGTTTTAAAAATTGATTTTTGTATAGACGACTGCAATGAAGAGAAAAAGTCATTATAAAGACAATTCTGTTATATAAATAAGTTTAGAATTCAATTAGAGTATAGAAATTGTGTATTTGTTTTTTTATTAAACTTTCATATTAGAAAAAAAAAAGTTCTGCTGCTGTCCTGCAACACGAATTCTATCCTTTTATCATAGAAAACTAGAGAAGAAAAGAAAAATTTCTTCAATAAACTTGTCTTTTTTA